CGTGAATGTTCGCTCCATGGTTTGTAATCGATGCATTTATGGTTCACTTGAACTTTTTCTACAACAAACTGAACCAAAAGGAAAATGCTACAAACTTTAAAAAAACCAAATCAACTGAACTCGGACCAGAGCCAACCAAACCCCATCACATAACAGAACTGAAGACTGAGAAACCATTGTCGTCACTTTTCAAGTTTAAGGATTTAAGGTTAACCCAAAACTGCCATCGTCTTTAACAGTCCATGCTGGTGTGGTGGTAGGATGTAATGATGACGGTGAATGACTTAGTACCGACTCCAGTCATTTGGTTTGAACTGCCACCAACCTGTCCTGTAAGAAACTCTGCAGAAAGGATGTGATGCAGTCATGAACAACACTGAGCCAGAATCTCAAAAGAATTTCTTCTAGACATCTTGTGGAATTCAAGGCCACCAAAGAACTGAGGGCTGGGTTAGAGAAACAAATGGAACACCACCAGCATTTGGACTTGGTTAAAACGAAGGCAGGATTTGGGTTTAACCTAAATTCCTCGAAAACTAAAAAAGACCGGGATCAATGTTTCTCCAGTGCTTCATCTGTCTAGTGTGGTTTTGTCTCTGCGTCAGATTTTTCAGTGATTTTGTTTTTTAACATTTGTAGCCATTTTCCTTTTGGTTCAGTTTGTTTTAACACAGAGAAACAATTCAATGTGAACCAAAATGCATCATTACAAACCATTGACGCGAACATTTCAGCTCTGACTGTTGTCGGATGTCCCGTCTGGCCGGAGACAGGAAAGTAAACACAGGAAAGAAAAGTTGGGAAGCCGTCAAGCTCAAACCTGCCAGTGGGGGTCGGATCGAGTTCCGGAACTCTTTAATATGAAAAAAGGAACCGGCTTCAGGGTTCGGTTTGGGGACCGGACCCGAGAACCACATACCTCGAAAAGATCTGCGGTCGCGACATTTACTTGTTTTCACAACCTGCCGAAACGAATTGTAACCCAAAGCGGGAAAAGAAACAGGGTTTCAGTTGACCGGGACCTAAAAGACCAGGTTGTGAAAACCACCCTGTTAGGTGGAACCAGCTGGCCATTCTCCTCTGACTTCTCTCATCAACAAGACTTGTCTGTCCGCAGAACTGCCACTCACTGCATGTTTTCTGTTTTTTCGCGCCATTCTGAGCAAAAACTTAGAGCTGATGTGTTTGAAAACCCATGGAGATCAGCAGTTTCAGAATATCTCCTGGAACCAAACAAATCACGCCACGGTCACAAGTCGCTCAAACATGAAACATTGTGTCAAAAATTGCTCATCACAAATTTGCCAAACATGTCCAACCATCACGACCAAACTACTGGTATTCAGCTGACAACACAGACATCAGCAGTAGTCTTATGAAAGAAACTCCTTAAAAAAAGACTTTATATGATACAGTATTCTGACAAAATGCAGAACTTCCCCTCACTGCATTTTGTCTTTGAATCATGAGTTCACAAACACTCAGCAGGACTTGCCAGCATTTACATACCTAAATGTTCTCTATTTTCCTTGGCTTCACAGAAATGCTCAAAGCCCCCAAACACAGTGCTATAAGCCAGAGGAGAATGCCTTTCCACAGCGCGCGGTTGTGTGAGGGATAGGTGGCAGACTGACTTTTCACTATGACAATCCTTTTAGGGGACGAGGTGCATGTTCTTTTTCAACACAGGGAAACTCCTCAGAATCCCTGCAAAAGTGGAGTTTTTGATTTTTTCAGCAAGAAGTGTGAACACAAAGAACAGTAAGGCCACTGAAACTGACAGTATTTTTCCAGACTGTCGAGACTTAAGGATGAATGTCAATATGAAAACTCATGCACCCAATTTTGGCAGGCTGGACAAAATCAGTGTTCACCTTGTCTTGTGTATGTGGTGTGTGTGTGTTGTGAAGTGTTAATGACAGTCCTTCATAGGGCCCGTTACAGCATCAGATCTTATTTTCATTCCTGCGCACCACCATCAAGCCTATGGATGCTCACCGGTTTGATGTTCTACTGAACCACATTTCCAACGCCCCCCCCCACACACACACACACACCACACACACACACAAACACACACTCATCATTTCCTAAATGTCTCCAGGATGTCTTTGAGTGCATATATACATTATGTATATGTGCACATTCTGTGTATTTTGATGCTTCTGCATGTTCTGTCTCGAGGCTCTGTGTGTGTGTGTGTGTTTGTTGTGTGTGTGTGTGTGTGTGTGTGTGTGTGTGTGTGTGTGTGTGTGTGTGTGCGAACGTGCGTTTATGAGCGTACCGCAGGTTGGTCTCTGTTGTGCATCTTCTAATTGGGATCCGATACAGGCTGTCTTGTCTTTCTTGCATTTCCCTCATTTTTCCCCCTCTCTCCCAGTTAGACTCAAAACAGACCAACACAGAGGGAGGACTGAGAGAGTGCAGCGCTTCAGAAGTCTTTCGAATTCATTCCCCATATGCAGTTTAACATCTTCAGGCACTATAAGAAATTAAGTCTGGGGAGTGTTTTCAGGATGAAAAGGCAATGTGCCTGTGAATTTAAGGCTGGCTTTATGTCACGGAATACCTGATGATTAAGATGAGAGAATCTGTCTTTGAAATATTAGGCAATATACTTCCGGACAAAGATATGTCATCAAGGCTCAGGTTTCATTCCAGTCACCTGCTACCAAAAACACAGTTTTTCCAGCTCAGCTGCTGATGATTAACAGGAATCTGCTAAACTCATTCAGTGTTTTATATTCTTCCCCCAAGTGATTTTCTACCTTTGAGTGGCTTTGAGTGGTTAAAGTTTGTCTGTCCTCATACGACCCCGTCCATCATGAAGCAGAGACAAAGCCGATAACTGATAGATCAATAGTGAATAGAAAATACCGAGTCCGTGAAGCAGTGGTAAGCATGAGAGAAAGCCAGCAAGACAACCAACAAGTGTGAGTGAAAGCAAGTGAGAGAGACAGAAATTGCCCTTTGTGCTACACTTAGATTCCGCTCACGTTCCTGCTCTGTCCCAGACGACTAGTGTAAAAGTGTGTGTGTGTTAGGCCGGTAGTTTCCATACCCGGCAGTGATTGGAAATGTCAGCTGACACAAAGCAACTTTTCACTGACACTCTGAGAACTGCCACAGAGACAGGGAGCGGGGCAGAGGGCGGCGGTGAGGGTACAGAGAAGAAGGATGCCAAGGTAGGAAATGAGGAGGATGACAGAATGGGAAGGGAGAGGATGGCTGGTGGGCGGTTTGCACCGAAAATAAGTTACGCTTTTGTAACATAAGGAATGAGGATGACATTGAGTTGAAGTGTGTGCGTGTGTTATGTGTGTATTATGAGTCAGTGTCAGGGGGCTTGTCTTCCGTATTCATTTAATTGTGTGCATGAATGAAATGCCTGTTTGTGTTTGTGTGTTGTGTGTGTGTGTGCGTGTGTGTGTGTGTGTGTGCGTGTGTGTGTTGTGTGTGCGTGGTTGTGTGTGCGTGTGTTGGCGTGTCATGTCAGAGAGTGACCAGGAAACTGGCAACTCAGTCCTATTTCTAAAGC